TTCATTCTGTCTAAAGTTTTTCTATTAAAATAGCTACCTATTTTTTCGTACCTATTTTTATGGACTTATGTATCTACTAGGAGACTGATGTCAAAGAACTGTTTGGCCCAGAGCAAGTTCCCCTCTCTGGTCCCAGTCCCCAGGGAGCCTTCCTGTGGCCCTACAAGGAGGCTGGGCCTGGTTTCACAGGTGAACTTGGAGAATACTGCTTGTCCTCTGATGTCAAAGGCTCACAGCCATTTTCCCTCAACTTGATCACCCAGGATGTCTGAACCCCACCAGTGAAAAAAAGGTTGGGGGTCACTACACAACCCCCAGCACCCACAGAGCTCAGAGTTCTGGAGTCCAGGTGACCCAGAGAGGAGTTCCACCCCCTTCTGCAGCCCTCCTGTGGCTGTGGCCCTGAAGAGCAAATGACTCCAAGGCCCTCAGGGCTGTGGCTCTTCCTCTGGATGGTCTCCCTCCCCTCTCACTATTCAAATCTCAAGAAGATGCCAGGCTGGCTGACTGCTCAGAGGCAACACTGGACTGTACATTTGCATTTGGTCATCTAGTACAATGACCTGTCTTGTTTCCTTCTGAGATACAGACAGCCTCAGGTCTTATCTCCAGCCCAGGGCCAGTGCCACAGACAAGTGTGATCATGGGGACATCACGTGAAAGGAGGTCCTGTCACTGTCCACCTTTGGTGGGCCTAGAATCTCCCACCTCACCCTGTTAGTGATTCTTCAACATTTAAAGTGATGCTGAAACAACCCTTGAGGTAAGACATACTGTTCCCATCTTCTCTAACAGAACTTGGACATTGAGTATGTGCTTCATAATTATGTTGTCACGAATGAATAAATATTGCTTCACTTGGGAGAAAGACGACTGTTCTGGTATCAGGTTGCTTTGCAACACCCCAGTCATCACCAGAAAGTTTAACAGTCCTGCCACAAGCTGGGGAGCTGTCATGAGGTGCTGACAGCGACAGACAGGAAAGTTTCCAGAATGGAAACTTCAAGTGGCCCTGAGTGGAAGAGGGGCTCTGAGAGACTTATCAAAGTAGAAATGGATCCTGGGATCTGCCACTCCGGGAATTCTGTTCATACCAACAGAGAGGCACAAAATAAGAGGCAGCTGCTCCCTGTGGCTACAAAGCACTCCAGCCATGAACAAGGGTAGACTCTGTGAGTTGGACATTTCTACCTCATTTGGGAGATCCAGACTGAGTTACTCTTACTCTGGGGAATGGTAAGGGAACCTACCATTCAAAGTCTCACTGAATAGGTCAAATAGTAGTTTCTAAGAAACCCAAGGGATGACATGTCCTAGTGGCTGCGAGTTCAAATCAGCCAGATAACAATGCAGACTACAAAGGCCTGAGTCTCAGACTTTCAGTGGACTTTGAAGCCCAGCGGCCTGAGAGGACCTGCTGTGGAAGTCGGAGAATGGCTTGCTCTACCTGCAGTGTGTAGGGATGACGGGTCCCCTTTCTGTCTCCCCTTCCTCAGGATGCTGCTGATGCTCACTGTTGGAAAAACCATGACCTGGTTCTGGTTCTGCACTGAGCATCCCATCTGTTTAGTGTCTTCTTCCAGAAAGCAAGAATCAGTCACAGATAAAAAGGAACTCTGCACAGCTCTTCCAGGACCCAAGGAGGTGGCATCAAAATAGATATCTTTCCGGGTCAGCACCTCCTCTGAGACACAGCTTCCAAGAGCCTCCTATCCAGCAGCCCTGTCCTCAAGAAGGGTGTGCTGGATAGCTTTAGTGTCAACTTGACACACCTGGGTTGAGGGAGCCTCAATTAGGAAATTGCCTTCATTGGACTGGCCTGTAGCCATGTCCGTGGGGTACCTGCCTGATGAGTGATGTGGGCGGGCCCAGCCCAGTGTGGGTGGTGCCACCCTTGGGCAGGTGGGCCTGTGTTGCATAAGAAAGCAGGCTGAGCAGGGGCCAGGGGAGCAAGCCAGTAAGCAGCATTCCTCCATGGCCTGTGCTCCAGCTCCTGCCTCCAGGTTCCTGCCCTGAGTTCCTACCTTGGGGTCCCGGATGAACTGTGACCTGGGATATGTAAGCTAAATAAACCTTTTCCTCCCCAACTTGGTAGTGGTCAGAGTGTTTTTTCACAGCAATGGAGAGATAAACCAGGATAGAAATTGGTAACAGGAGTGGGGTATTGCTGTGACAGACCTGACCTTGGTGTTTTGGGGAGGACTATGGAAGTGTTTGGAACTTTAGGCTGGAAAAGCTATTGCATGCTCAGAGTTTGTTGCCGTGGAGCTTGGAAAAGTTATGCTGAAAGAGTTGTAGACAATGGAGGCCCAGCTTGTGAAGCTTCAAAGGGAAGTAAAGACTATCAGGGCTGTTCCTGTGACATTTTGAATTGAGAATCTGTGAGTTCTGGTCGGCTGGGGCTGAAGAATCAGCTGTGATTAAGAAGAGACCAGAACCTGAAGTAAAACCTTTGCTTTACTGGGACAATTGATGCTGGTTAGCTGGGGCTGAAAAATCAGCTGTAAGTAACGAGATACCAGCATCACTGTGGTGAAGTCTTCTGGGAGGTATTTCCTCAGGATCAGCACACACAGGGGACCTGCACTTCTATTTCAATCTGGAAGCAGGACTTGGTAATGTGTGAGAGTCTCCTGCATGGTTCTGGTGTTGCAAGTGTGAAGGGGACACGGAAAGCAGCTGAGGCTTGGTGCTCCAAGAGGCCAGGAAAGGCCATGGGTGAAAGTGTAGCTTCAGTTGCAGCAAAGATTGAAGGGGTCATAGAGAGAATCTGAGGCTCTGCACCCCAAGAGGCAAGAAGAGGCCATTGGTGGAGGTGTAGCTGCAGTTTCAGTGGAGACCCCAGCTTTTTGGAGATGCCAGGACCATGGGACAACCACAAAGGACAGCAGTAGGTGTGGAATGGAGCTGGCCTGGGTCTGCAAGATGAGCTGTGTGTGCTGTGGACGGCAGAGTCAGAGAAGTGGAGCTGCCAGAACCCTTCAGAGCCCAGAAGATCATGAGTAAATCCCAGGTGTCCAGCCTCAAGCTACTTTGCTGGACTTTGGTTTTGCTTAGGTGTGCCCCATGGGACAACCACAAAGGACAGCAGTAGGTGTGGAATGGAGCTGGCCTGGGTCTGCAAGATGAGCTGTGTGTGCTGTGGACGGCAGAGTCAGAGAAGTGGAGCTGCCAGAACCCTTCAGAGCCCAGAAGATCATGAGTAAATCCCAGGTGTCCAGCCTCAAGCTACTTTGCTGGACTTTGGTTTTGCTTAGGTGTGCCCTGTGCTAGAAAGCTGTGGTTTAATATTGATGTTTGTATGTCAGGTTGACAAGGGGTTAATTATGCTGGATAGCTTTAGTGTCAACTTGACACACCTGGGTTGAGGGAGCCTCGGCTGGGGAATTGCCTCTATTGGACTGGCCTGTGGCTATGTCTGAGGGGCATCTTCTTGATGAGTGATGTGGGAGGGCCCAGCCCACTGTGGGCAGTGCCACCCCTGGGCAGGTGGGCCTGTGTTGCATAAGAAAGCAGGCTGAGCAGGGACCAAGGGAGCAGGCCAGTAAGCAACGTTCCTCCATGGCCTGTGCTCCAGCTCCTGCCTCCAGGTTCCTGCCCTGAGTTCCTACCTTGGGCTCCCGGATGAACTGTGACCCAGGATATGTAAGCTAAATAAACCCTTTCCTCCCCAAGTCAGTATTGGTCAGAGTGTTTTGTCACAGCAATGGAGAGACAAACCAGGATAAAGGGAAAATAATTTTTCCTTGAGGAAGAACTGCACGTGTCTGTGTGTACATTTTATTGGAAGGTGGGAGAGGATGCGAAGGACCAGAGAAGGACTTGCCTCTGGTTGCTGAATTGGTCACTTTCCTGGTTGTTATGACTAAATACCTGACCAAAAGCAACATAAGGATGGAAGGATTTGCTGTGTCTCATGGTTTGGAGGTACAGTTCATCTCGGCAGGGAAGGTGGAGTGGTAGGAGCCTGAGGGGCTGTTGCATCCACACAGTGAGCAGAGATTAATGCATTTTGTGATACAAGGTTGATGTTGGGCCGAGAGGGCAATGTTATGGTTTAAATGTGATGTGTTTGGTGTCACATTGACAATGTGTGGACTTGGGTGGGTCATCTTCATTGTTTACTCAGCTGGTTTGACTCACCTAGGAGACACACCCCTGGGTGTATCTACAAGGGTGTTTCCAGAGAGGTTTAAACTAGGAGAAAAGACCCTCTGAATGTGGGGGCACCATTCCATGAACTGGAATGAATAATAAGGGGGACGTGGAGGAGGCCAGTCTTCATTTCTCTGATTCATGTCTACTTTTGTCACAGCACCAACCAAGCTAACAAATACAGTTACCTAGCTCATAAAAAGACATATGGTTTCATGTACGTTCCACTTACAGTACCTATTTGGCACAGGGGTTAAAGGCTCAGTCCTTCAGAGAATGCAAGGCTCTGTGGTAGGTGTATTGGGTGCTGGCCGTATTTCCTCGGCAATCAGGAAGCAAATAGAGGTTCATGAAATGACTCAGTCTACTGTTACCTGAATGCTGTATGAAAAATTTTGCTACATTAGATTCCATTCAAGTTAGAAAATAGTAAAATCAAGGAGAAAAAATATCCAAGTTTGAGCTGAAGATGATCTTCCATTTTATTATGAGATGCTTTTCTGTATTTCATTATCATGTTTGCTTTTTTAAAATTTTGATGCCTTAAAACTATTGCATCCACTGCTAAATCCCATGTATGAGGTCTATTCTGATGGCGCCATCATCGCCATCTCAAAGACGTCAACATTCAAAGAAGACCTAGCTTTCTATGTAGCACAGGCGCCTCTGTGAAGGCACATGCTGAGAACAAGAAAGGGAGGAAAGAAAGGAAAAAAATAGTGGCACCGCAAGGTGGAAGGTTAATTTTCATTATGAGTGCCCAATTTAGATACCATAGAATGAGATACTGAGTGTGTAAAGTTAGTTACATTATGCGAACTTACAGGGAGGTCTATACTACCCACCTGTAATTTCCTGCGACATTTTCCTGAAGGGTCAGGTAAACATTTTCTCTGAAAGATAAAAAGATCTAACTATGTGGTCAATCTGTATTTCTGGGGTGAATCTCACATTTCCAATCTCCTCCCAAAGGCTTCTGCCTGAATGTGTATTACAGACTTTGTCCAAGGACAGCTGGAAGGTTCTCTTTAGAACCCTTTCTCTTTCTCAGGTGCTCCTTCCCTAAAATCTGAGACATATTCAGTCTTACTCAATCATTGCATCTTTCTGTTCACACCCGAGGCACTCCAGCTTCACTTCCATCAGGAGGACTAGCCAGTCAACACACACTTACTTCTCACATGCTTACTGGGTGTCAGGTACTCTGATCAATTTGGATCACCCAAAGATAGCAAACCCCAGAGGGGGCAAGAGGAGGTTTGTGGAAGAACCAACATTAAACAGGGTGAGAAGGGTCCAAGTATTGGGCTCAGGGAGCCCAGGGGTTAGGACAGTCAGGGGTGACATTTGAGCTAAGCATTCTAGGATAAATAATAGGTTGGCTGAACAGAGAGATAACAAAATCATGACAGAGACATGGTTGTTTCAAATAGCATTGTCAGGGGTTGGCATTAGCTCGGGGATGGAGTCTTCAGTATACTTGAAGCCCTGGGTTCAAACCTCTCACGCCAAATAATAATGATGACGATGATGATAATAATGTTTTGGCCTTTCTTTTCTTTCTTTCTTTCTTTCTTTCTTTCTTTCTTTCTTTCTTTCTTTCTTTCTTTCTTTTTCTTTCTTTCTTTTTTTTTTGTCTTTTTGAGACAGGGTCTCCCTGTAGTCCCAACTGGCCTGGAACTCACTATGTAGACCAGGCTGAACTTGAACTCACAGAGATCCATCTGCCTCTGCCCCCTCTCCCGAATGCTCGGACTAAAAGTGTGTGCCACCATGCCCGGCCTTAAATGCTTTTTCTAACTTCAAGGACATTGCTGAATCCTTGTCTAAATTTTGAATTTGAGCTACTTACGTGGACTCAAAGTCCTCCACAGATAGTCCCTATTACTGGATTTTGCCTTAGTACAGACAAGTCATCTACCTAGTTCACACAGCTGCTTAGCCATGGCTCGATTTTCATGTCTTTCTTTCTCTGGATTATCTTCTGTTTGTTTGACTCTAGACTCTTCATTTTGTTTCAGTACAGAAACTTCTCCACTTGCACCCTTGACAGAATGTCAGGTCTGTCCTCGGAGGTCCTGAACTTAACCCTTTTCAGCACCAGCACTGGTATGCTGCACGGTACTCAGGCTATGAGTGTGGGGTCCCTCTCTTCTCACTGGCATCAGGGCTTTGGCCATAACTCAACAACTATGCAATGAGTAAACAGCGCACCAAGAAGGGGTGCACCCCGCCCTCCCTGGAATACCTCGATCAGCCGTTTCAGGGGTATCTTGTGGCAGCGCACACTCAATTTCCAGTTCTTTGATCTTGCATAGCCTCCTCTGATTTCAAATTCATGGGGAGTGAACCACTCTCCATCCTCACTCTGTATACACTTCACTGAGATCCCTGTAAGACCAGAGTAAGCTGATTGTGAGCCCTCACTGTCATTGGAGCTCAGATTTGTGGCCTCCCACCATATTGGATCTGAAGTCACCCAGCTTGTGCCCAAAGTCAATAACAGAAGGGTCGGGCTGCCTCTCTGAGACTTCACTAGCCCCAACCCAGCCTGGGGAGGGGGGGTTCCTGAAGGGTGTGCATATGATTTTGATTTTTGTGCATGAAGAAAATGACAATTACCATCAAAATCAACCTTTTAAAAGAGTTCAGGATCACTACAAAAAGATAAGCAAGTGATTCCACAGGATGAGAGGATTCCAACTTGCTGTTGAATTCTGGGCTGGATCAGCCAGATTCCCCAGATGGCTCTGGAGCAGGGTGAAGGAGACAGAACCCTCCAGCTGGGGCTGAGGCCTCAGGGATGTTCTGCAACCTGGGAGTTCTATGACTCCTGATAGTTTTCATCTGATTTAATGACATAACTGAACAAAGTTTTCCCCTCCTTGCAGTCATAGGTAAGCACCATTATAAATAAATGGCATATTATCTTATGGAAATATAAATTATGTAAAAATGATGGCCACATCTTCATTATTAGGAAATGCAAAGCAAAATCACAATGAGATACCATTTCCTGCTGACCAGGATGACTATTATAAAAAGAGGAGATGGGCTGGAGAGATGGCTCAGCAGTTAAGAGCATTGGCTGCTCTTGCAGAGGACCCAGGTTGAGTTCCCAGCACCCACATGGTGGCTAACAACTGTCTATAACTCCAGTTCCTTGGGATCCGATGCCCTCTTCTGACTTCTGCAGGCATTGCATGACATGGGTGCAGGCAAAACATTCGAACACATAAAATAAAAACAATAAATAAAAAGAGAAGACAGAACAGCTATTTATATAGGGAAATTGGATCCTCTTCCATTTCAGGTGGGATGATGATGATGATTAAGATAGGATCTCTCTGTAGCTCCAGCTGAACTTACTATGTAGACTAGGCTGACCTCATTCTCACAAGATCTGCCTGCCTGTGCCTCCTGAGTGCTGGGATTAAAGGAGTACACCACAATGCCCAGCCAGGTGGGAATATAAATTAGTGCAGTCACTAAAAATATTTTGGTAATTGATTACTAAGTTAAACATAGAATTACCATATGACTGAGCAATTCCACTTCTGAGAATGTACCTCAAAGAACTGAAAATATATTTTCACACAAACATTGTATACAAATGCTCACGAAGACAGCATTATTCATGATAGCAAAAAGGAGGAACAATCCCAATTTATGAATAAAGACAATGTGATGTATCCATACAATGAAATAGTATGTTAATTGGAATTAAAATTACATATTACATGCAGCTATATGGATGAGGCTTGAATACATCATGCTAAGTGAGAGAAGCCAGTCACAACTGGCAAATGTTACAGGATTTCATTTATATGAAGTATGTAGACTAGGCAAATTTATGGAGCAGAAATTAGGTGAGTAATAATTTTTTTTTCTTGTGTTTATTCCAGGTCAGTGATTATTTATGGATGGGGGCAAAGTGAGGATAGGTTCTGACTGCTAATACATATGGGGTTTTCTTTAATGGAGGAAAAATTTTCTAACAGGAAATTTTTCAGATGGCTGTTACAACCCTGTAAATTTACCAAAAAAGAAAGCTGCATTCATTTGCCCACTCTGCATGATAAATTGCACAATATGTGAATTATAATTCAGTAAAGTTGTTCAAAAATAATCACAATGCAATCATTTATATTAATTGGCATCTGCAGGATCATAGTAAGAGAGGTTTGAGGTGTTTATTGTAGTAGACATTTCTTTGCAAAGCTTTAGTATCTGTGATTACCAGATGTGTAAAGTAGTTCTCACAGATATATCATTGTTGTCTTTTTTTTTTTTGGTCTTTTTGAGACAAGGTCTTCCTGTAGTCCCAGCTGTCCTGGAACTCACTATGTAGACCAGGCTGGCCTTGAATTGACAGAGATCCACCTGCCTCTGCCTGCCGGGTGCTGGGATTAAAGTGTGCGCCACCACGCCCGGCCATTGTTGTCCTTTTTAAATGAGAAAGCTCAGGCTGAGAAAGTCCCCCTTCTCTATAGATAATGAAACGGCCACGCTTGGCAGAGCTGAGGCTGGAACTTGGGTTTTCTGATTCTAAATCCTATGACTGTCTCACCAGGACAAGTGCCCTGCCCTGGAGATAATTATCCAGGGGGATTGGGGATGTGAAGATAGAGGCTGGGAGCCTCTTCTCTTTTATGTCTGGCTAGAAGAAAAATACACAACATCCATGTGTGGATGGACACTCCTCAGCTTCTCCCAGGTTCTCTGGGATCCCTTAGCGGCACCCACATGAGTGTGAGCATCTATTCTGTGTGATTTCTTGAAGTGTAAATATAGCATGTCAGGAATCTTCCTCATACTCTTCTTCCTTCCTCATACTCTACCCACCCCCCCAATTCCTTAGTGTTGAATAATTCACATAATTCCATTACTTCTTGTGATTCCTTTAGGGGGGAGTTGCAAATTAAAAACCATGAAACCTACCTTGTTTTAATATCTCCTTATATAAAATTCCCTTCATTTCACCACATGTCACATGTCATGAAGTTTTACAGTATCAATTCTGCATTTTCTTATTCCTGAAAGAGAAGATGTCTCCCTTGTGTCTCGCTTTGCCATTGCACATGCCCCCTCCTCCCTTTTGAGATCATTCCTCTAAAGGCAGAAAGACAAATCTCTAGCTTCTAAGTCTTTTTTGCATGTGGCATGTTGGGTATACCATGACAGAAAGTCTATTTTAGTTTCTACCCTCAAATTTATAAAAAACAAGAATGCTTTAGCAGAGAAATTTTACTTTAATAGAACCATCTTAGCTCCCACTCTAGCAAGTCCAGTGACTGCTACATCACCAGGAAGCATGCAGCTGCTGTTGCAATTCTAACAGGAACTCTCTGGCCATGCTATTTCTCTGCAGATGGTAGCCATAGACACCCCAAGAACGGTCCTCACATCTTCCCATTTGAGCATTGACTGGGTGAGCAGGGAGAGGAAACGATGGGTAACTTAGCAGAGCTGTGTGGAGAACCTAGCTGCTTCCTGTTACTGTCTGTTCGGCTTCATTTCTCTCTCATGTCAGCATTCTCTCTCTGTAGTTGAGAGAGGAATTTAGAAAGTTCTAGAACAAATGAAAACTATAGAGGGAGTGGCAACTGGAGACACAACTCCACAGAAGTAAAGGTGAAAGGTCCTCAAGCAAACTCTTGCAAGATGAGAAGCTAAGTTTGTCCTTCCCGTCATCCTGTAGAGGTCATGATTGGGGGGTGGAGGGTGAGGGTGGGGTGGGGAACTGTCCATGGTGCTAAGACTAGGTTTGACAAAGACTGTTAGGGACTGAGGAGGTCGACCTAACTCACTCTCTTACTTTACAGTTGAGGAAACCAAAAACAGAGACAAGGGATAGATCTAAGCCTATGTAGTCAAAGTAAAAGAAAGCGCTGCCCTTACACTGGGCCACCTTGGTGTGTAATGATTGACAGGTGATAGATAGCTTGTGTATGACAGAGACTGTCTCCAGCCTTGAAACTCAATACATCAATGGAGGTGACACTGAAGTGGCCCCAGGTCACTTAGCCTGGTTTTAGATGCATCACCAAGTTTCTTGTTTCTCTTTCAGACACAATGACTGCACAAGGCACACTTTTCAATGGTTGAATCAGTTACCTATAGCTATTGGGGAAACTGTGACACACAGGAAAACGCATGCTCCGTTACTGGACATACATCATGTTCCTCTTTCATTTTTTATCCCTTGATTAGACTCTTTTCTGTGGGGCTCTGCCATTCTGACAGTGGTGAGGGAGACCAGCCCAACACAGTTACCAGCAGACTAAGGAGATCACTTCCTCCTTTAGGACCCTCACTCAAGTAAAGCTGGGTACTTAACTATGCCTCGAGATAAGCCAAAATGAAGCACAGTTTAGGAGTTTACTAAGTATTTAGACAGACAGTCATATAAGAAAAGGACACACTTAAAATATGACACAGAGATATAAACATAATTCTTCAAGTCTTATCTGTCAGTAGTATTCAAATATAGTTTTGAAACTTCAGTCCTAGAAAAGAGGCAAATTTCTTCACAGTAATGTAGTCATGTGAAGGCTGATCACAGAGTGAAATTTCAGTTCTGCCTGTGTTCTGGGGTTATGGCCTTGGGAGAGGACTTCCTTTGAATGCCTTTGGAGAATGGAAAATTAATTCATGGTGGCGCCTTAGACTGAATGACTACCAGTCTGGCATGTAACAACAGCCCCCTCTCAAGTGTCTGCCATGTAACTTCAACCCTGTAGTGAGAAGACGCAGCCTCAAGACTGACATGCGATGGAGTCTACACAGCACTGGAAGTCGAAGGACGCCCTCAACTTTGATGTGGAGAGTTCTCATTAAATAATGCCTATGCTCTGAAAGTTTTAACACAAATCTTCTCATGTATTAAGTGCCTGGGGGACTTTAAAAAGCCCCAGTGAGATTTCTGTGTTGTGCCTTTGCCTTCTTTTGCATTATCCAAATACATGTGACCATTACTCCTGGGGACTGGAGAGCATATATGATGATAAAAATGATGATTTATAGTCAGGCGTGGTGGCATACACCTTTAATCCCAGCAATCACGAGGCAGAGGTAGATGAATCTTTGTGAGATCAAGGCAAGCCTGGGTCTACATAGAGAGTTCCAGGGCAGCTAGGGCTATAGGGAAACCCTGTCTCAAAAAGACAAAAAAAAAAAGAGAAAGATTTATTATTCTTTGTATGTTGGTGTGCATGATGTGCATATGTGTGTGTGCATATTTGTGTGTGTTTATGGGTGTAGGCACACATGTGCCATAGCCCGTACGTAAAGGTCAGAAGGTGGTAATAACGTCTATTATTAAAAATATGGGCTTAGTAAAGAGCAGATTGCCTGACTCCACGGACTTTGTGTCCTGCACACACACGTTGGTGGGGCAGTTTGCTCACTGAAGGAAGCGATCCCCAGAAAGGGACCATCACCTTCCCGGACAATGATCAGGACTGAAGTAAGGAGGAATACAGGTGACATGTGGACCTGTAAGTTCAGGCTCAGTTCTGGCCATTCCCGGGGACAACGCCCAACCCTTTCCCGTCACGGCCTAGTAGGCACAGCTCCTGAGTGCCCAGGGTTCCAGCTCAGCTCTGGTTCCGTCCCATGCACATGCCTTGCCCTACTTGTTTCTGACCCATGAATAGAAGGTCTGAGTGAGAAGGAGGTGGTTTCAACAGGGGGAGTGGACAGACACTGGAATGGTACACACAGACTTGTGGCAGTGACGTAAGAGCAAAACCCAAGCAGCTGAGGAGGGATCCCCTCAAACTAGAAGGTCTGCAGGGGAAGAGAGGCATTAACAACACCTGCCTTTCAAAACTTTGTCTGAAGGAAGTGCTCTGGTGTGTTCCCCCCACTGAAAATGAGAGATGATTGCCTCTGGTCAATGCCATGGACAGAGGGCAGATTGGATGCATTATCCACAGCTAGCAACCCTCCCCCAGATCAAGAACCAGACACGGTGTGTGGAGCTGGAACACAGACTCACAGGTGTCCCAGGGCCACGCTAGAGGCGTCTTCTACCTCCTCTCTCACTAATGCATGTCCCGCTCAGGGAGCCCAGCTTTGTAAACACTTCTTTTCTAGGGACCAAAAGTTTTCTTAGGACTGTGTCTCTGTGTGAAAGTCAGGAATTAACATGCCTCCATCATACAAATACATGGGTATACACTGAATGAGGTCTTTCTACCATGTTTTCCACTTCCTCCTGAACTCTCAGTAACAGTCTTTCACATCCAGTTTCAGCTAACACACTGCTCAGATCATTCTAAGTCTTATCTAGTATGCTATTTGAAATTCCTCCAGCCTCTACTCATCGTCGAATCTCAAAGCCCCTTCCACATTCTTAGGGATGTGCGGGACTGTAGCCCACTTCCCAGCATCCTCATGCATTGCTTAACAGTGAGTGGGGATGCGCTCTGAGAAATGCGCTGTTAGGTACTTTTGTCACAGTGTAAACACCATAGTATACTTACATAAACCAAGTCAACTACAGCTTGGCCTGGTAAGGAATCTTACTGGGCCACCATCACGTATGTGATCTGTCACTGGACTGACCACCATTATGCAACCCCTGACATTCACCTCAGGAGCCACGGAGCCACCTTGACCTTCCTGCTTCTTTCAGGAAGGCTTTCCCCTGTTTTCTTGCTTTTCCTAGTTTCTCTGAGTCACCTGCATTCCTTGGTCCCTTCCTCCACCCTCAGACCCAGCAATGTGGCATCCTTCTGACCATTCCTCCCCTGTCACTTCTTCCTCAATCTATAGCCAAGAAATACTCCCCACTTCTAAAGGCCCATAAAATTAGATGGTTGGGGGAAATTCATTACAATAAAGTAATTGTATTAAAAATTAAGAACGTGAAAAAAAGAAAATAAGAAAGATGGCCTCATCTGTAAGGCATTTGACATTGTAGAGCTTCTAAAACAAAGTCA